ATTTGAAATGATGGGCCAAGGATTTACGATAGAATTAGTTTTAGGTTCGGGTTAAGGATAGGGTTAGGTTAGGGGTAGGGTGATGAGTTGGTTAGGGTTAGGGTGAGGATTATGTTAGGGTTAGGGTGAGGGTTAGATATCATGAGTAAGGTTTAGAGGCTGAAGTAAGAGATACTGCAATAATGATGATGACTGAACTACCAGGGTTCTAAAGTATGATCCCTCATACGCACAGCACACGTAGGGAGACCGACCGGTCTACGTTTGCTAGCCACGATCAAACCTCCGTTAGCGGTCACCTCTATAGAACAGACACGTCTCTAATTGGCACCTTTCGTGTTTCCTTCGAGTGACAGCTGTACAGTGCAACCACCTCTATAGAACGGACAGCTCTCTACGATAGACACTCTTGGCGTTTCTCTCGAGTGAGTCCTTACATATACAGACTTGTCAGCTGATATAACCGCGACAGCACCGAGAACGCGTGAACTGAGTTTATCCACGGCGTAGCATATCTAGATACGCTGAGATCGTGCGGCAATCGTGAGTACAGAACTCCATCAATACCTGTTAAGCGACTATTGCTGCCTCCCGTTGTCGGCACAGATCGTATCCTGTTGTTGTCTCTTGTCACGAGTATTGCATTCAGCATTCACGAAAGCCGGTACGGCACACGGGTAAAAGCACAAGCCACGGAGACGGTCTGCACACACAAACAGCAACCAGTTCTGTCTACTGTCCGTCCACGACACCTCAAGTTAGCCTGGCTAACACACGAGGCACTGCTGGCTGGCTAACAGATTGCCCGGATTCGTCTCTCAGTATCGCATCTGGCCGCCACGGCGAGGAAGACGCTGGGAAACTCTATCCGTGCTGCCGGCTGGGCAAGCCCCGTATCTCTATCTCTCGCTCGCTTGCACTGCTGCCGAGCTGAGCTAGGCACCCGCGATCTATCTCTCACTCGATGCTGAGACTACGCTAGCGCAAGCCATCGCCATACAACACGCCTGTTGCAGCGGAAATCTCCGAGCAAGCTTCTAGATCTGTATTAGCATCAGCAGCATCAGCAGCAGCAGCAGCAGCTAGCGCGCACTCTCTCGCCTTCACGCGCGGAACTGGTTCAGAGGCAAACACTCCATGTCACGCTTGACAATGGCGCAATGAGGGGAGCCGATAGGGAGGCGGGAACTCGGCGGCGAGGGGGGAGGGAGACAAGCTATATGACCGCTCTAGCCGGGCGTGTTCACGGGAGGTATGAGGTCGTGGCAGCAGCATTCACGGCCGGCACGAATACCCGCATTGTCTCACTCACATGTTACACGGCAATCAGATTACAAGACAATTACAGTGCATGTTGGATAAGCAGTGCCGGCATAAGGCCAGAGCCAGTATAGACCGTGCGCAACACTGGCACCGCCTGATTTGATAAATTCCTGATCCAGACGATGAAGAAGAAAAGGGCAGAGCGAGCAGAACAGCCGCAGAACAGCCGGACTCGCAGTAGCGCTCCAGGGACCGCGCATTTTGTTGTTCACCAGACAAGCGTTATTATCGTCTCTTCACGCAAGATGCCCACAATGATTCCCGCATCGTATAATTTATAGATGAAAGCGAGGAGGTGCACTAATTCGGATGTGTTCACGTGCGCGTAATAATATATCATCCGCTCGACTGTAATTCGCGCAAAATAAAAATGATTCGTTCTACATTCCAAATACTGAAATTGCGTAAAATGAACTGTTAAATTAAATCGAGCAGCTGCATTATTGTTTACGACAAGAAGGGCCGCGCGCGTGCAGTGATTGGGCGCGATTCCCGCTTGCTGTAACTAGGGCCGGCTCCGCTGGGAATTAGTAATCGGGGCAAGTCACCGCGAGAACAGAGAGACAGTCCCGTCACGGGTTCTGGAATTCAGTTCTCGTAATCGTGCATCGCAATACTTTGCTCTCGATTTGCTTTCATTGAAGCTAGCCGCGGGCATTGGCCGCTTCTGGCCACCAGAGGCCGCTCGTGTCACACGCCGCAGCAGCAGACGTATGAAATATAAATGGCACGCCATCTGGGATTCACGCGCGGACAATTTCCGTAATTTGCATGGCGACACTACACACTCCGTTCTTATCGAATTAGAAATATGTCGTGATGTCTGCGACACTTAAACGCGTATAGCTCTGAATCAACGCAGAATGGTAACCTTGTATGGAGAGCAGGAGAAGTTTCCTCGTTAACGCAGGAACGCCTATACTGGTTGAAACTACATTCTTAAAGCTTTTCTCTAATCGCACCTGCGATATACGATCAAACCTGCGTTAGCGGTCACATTAATAAGGCGGACACCTGTCTATAATGAACAATCTTGGCGTTTCCACTGAGTGGCAGTTATACAAGTTAAACAACTTCTATAGAACTGACACCTTTCTATAAAGGACACTTTAGGCGTTTCCCGTCAGTGATATATATGCACAGTATTGTCTGTATTTTGCACCGACTAAAGATAAAATGCCATATAAATAAAGGTGAATATAAAATTACGAATAATGACTGGGACAATAACACACGTTTTTTTATTATGGGTCCAGCAGTATAGCTTCAGAAACCTTCACCGCTGAATTGACAACGACTACACTGCTATTTCTAATTATGGCACTTTGTATCCAGCAAAAACCGATACTGATTCGGATGCGAATACACTGTCGCATATTGTACTGAGGTCATTTGACTTTTTGCAGTCGGTTCAGCATAGCGTTTAAAGGGAAACGCAAGCATTGAATAATAACAGACAAACTGTTCGCGTGATGGCATGATGACGTCTAAATTGCGTGTTAGAACTCAATCACTTAATTCGCATGTATCCATTTCGCGTAATTGCTCTATAATTGAAACAATATAATTACGTTTCACGTTATGCAGTCGAACCTGCATATAAGGGTCACTCGAGACAAACGCCGAAAGTGTCTATCGTAGAGAGCTGTCCGTTCTATAGAGGTGGCTGCGCTGCATAGCTGTCACTCGAAGGAAACACGAAATGTGCCAATTCGAGACGTGTGTTCGTTTATAGACAGGTGTTCGCTATATAAAAGTGGGTTCATTGTATAACTTCGATCTGATGAAAACGCCAATACGTCCTCGAAGACGGGTGTCCGTTTTATAAAGGTACCATGCTAACATAGACCTGACCGTGTTTGCTTCATAAACAACCGATGAAATCGATGATTATGTTTTGACAAAGAACCTGGCTAATCTTCGTGAAGGGGCGTGAATGAAGAGCGAGATGCTCCTTGATTCTCCTTGAGCCGGCGCGCCGCGGAATGGAGCTTTAATGACTCATTACAAGCTTATTATACGCAGGACTGAAAAACGATGAGATTACCAGACGGCAGCCACCGACCTTAGTGAGGGTGAGTAATTAAAAAGATCAGAAAAAAAGAAAAATGTAGTTGGCTCTGGTGTAAAAAATCTACTTTTTTTGCAAATACGTAGTTTCAAATGCCGATGCGACGTTCTATAGGAAGTAAATAAAGAATTTGACGATCGATTTAATTTCGACTGACACATAGACAACCAAGGCGAGTAATGGTTCCTGTACGGTTAAACACATACAATTATCAGGAAAATAAATGAACTCTTTTCAAATTATTTGAGTTTGAATGTTCGTGACAATGCCATCTATGCACGACTCTCTGTCATGGACATCAATGCCCAACTCTCGTTCCTCTTCACCCCACTTCCGCCTCCATTGCCGTGAAATACAGTAATAACCAGCAAAACTACCAGTTTTTGTTAATCAAAAGCTATAGGTGTGTGTATGTTCGAGTGGTTTCCGAATGTATAACGTCACTCGAGCGGAAATTCACAATCCAGACTAATATGGTCGCTGTGCATTTCCTGTGGTGTGCATGCGTAGTGGGATAGGTTTTCACGACAAGACAGGGACCCCGTCTTCCTGAAACGTCTCCATCGATCATATAGAGTATAGTATCCACATCGGGCGACAGGGGGAGCTTCAACCACCAGCACCCTTCCTGCGCGAACAGTGGAGTGTATTCCAGGCACTGATATATATAATATATATAACACGGTTTAAATTCGCCCACATTTTTATGATTTGAATAACCTTCATGTGCGCGTACGAGAGAAAGGGCGTTAGGCAGTTGTTAAGCGATTGAGCACAGTTAAACGTACGCAAAGAATTTCGAACGCGTTTACGCACTAAATAAAGCGACTGTAATCTTCAGCGAAATCCAACCGAAAGGTTTGCTCAACTTATATTCGAACAGCGATATCAATTTAATCAACCAGCAAGATTTCTATCGAGAAATTGGCGAGTGATATAATTCGGATTGACAGAACGGTGTTAATTATACAAAACTCATTCCGAGTACACATCTAGTGCGCGACAACCTTTCGCATGCAAACAACAACGACAAGCCGTAATTCCCCGCATTCCCCCGCCGACTGTCCTTCGTCGTTCCCATACTCCCTCGTGATGCATACGAGCAGACATGTTTGGCTCTCGAATCCTATTGACGTATTTGCACATTGCATTTCCCTCGTTGCGTCGGCAGTGTTTGTGTTCGCTAACACGTAGTCAAAGCTGCTAGTACATGATTGAATCGGGGGCAGCTCGGACAGGCACTACGGGGTGTGGTTCCACCGGGTTACAAAGCTTATAGTTTACAGTGGGCGAAAATAGAAGCATAATTTTTCCACGTAGATTTTCCAGCATCCGGACGATGTATGTGGACAGCCAGATTTCCCATTTTATGCACATTTGCGGCCATACGAATTTGAGAATTTCAGTCCGACACTGACCGCATGCACTGTCTGCGAATGAAAGTGAGAGACAGTGAAAGCGAGAGAGTTAGCACTGAGCAGGCTAGGAATTCGGTGCAGTCCTATCAGACTAGCTGCATACAGATGCACAGGTAGATAAAATAGGTAATGGCAAAAAACAACTCGTGCCGAAGAATTCGCCGTAGAACGAGGGGGTTGGGAGAACGTCATTGAGAACGTCGAGACATCAGATTACATACCTGCTAATTGAAACATTGAATATGGAGGACAGACGTGTTTATGCACATCTTTCCGCTCGGACGGGTTTCGAGCCTGATTCTCGGCCCGTATATTTCAGTTTTAAGTCCATGCGATGCCCTGCAGGCAACAGCCATCCGTCGCCGACGCCCAAAATAAAATAATGAACACGTACGGCCGTGGTGCGCACTGTCTCATTCTGACGTGTTCGCAAATCGAGAGGGTGGTACGCTAGCGCATTCCTTCGAGCCAACATCGGTTGACCGAGACATTCAAATTTCAAACCCTTTCGTCTGTGGTGCAGATCGGGCGTGCGTCAGCCTTTCTTCAACTGCCCGATTCGAGAGTTCTTTTAAGTGAACATTATTCTATTTTATATACATCGATAATAGTAATTATTATAATCGTAGAATTTATCACGGCACGCTCAACAACTGCCAAGTGGTAGGTATAATGACCCGGAACATGAACCGGAAGGGCAATGATGACGTTCATGCCGCAGTCGATGACGACATACAGACGCATGCGCATACAGATGCAGATACAGTTGTAAATACAGATACAGACGCGTACAGGCATGAACGTTAACACCACCACTAACCGTCACATTCTCCTAACACAAAACGAGAACGGAATATCCAAAGAATTGCCTTCATATACGGATTATTCCCAAAAAGCTGAAAACGATGACGGGGCTCGACAAACGGCCCATCTTCACAGCACAAAGACGCGAGTGCCAAAAGAAAAGATGTAAAGATGTACAAATGGACAAAGCCAAGTAGAGAACAGCTATAGATACAAAAAGGCATAAAGTACAGGCAACTTGAAAAGAGTAGGTAATGCTCAAAAGCTACGCTGAAAAATTTGAGAACGAGTTAGAGCCACACGGGTAAAGCCTATTGAGGCAGGCCACCTATATACCAGCGATACGAGCCACATATAGGGCTTTATATATCTATTAGGTTGTCGTACCGATGAAAGCCCGTCCTACAAAGCCAATTAGATACTCGGGCGATGTCTAAATTCTTTATTTTTCTCGGAGTCCCGCCGTATCAATTATTATCACTTGAGGTTGTTTACATCGAGAAGATAGGCATCATTCTTAAACTGTGGGTAGTGTGGGTATGGAATAATTAAATGAGTTATTAAGTGACTGCATATGGTTTAAGTTCAGTCAAATCTGCATGTAAGAGTCCCTCAAGGGAAACGCCAATAGTGGCCTTTAAGCACATGTGTTCGTTCTATAGAGGTGGTTCCATTGCATAGCGACCACACAGAGGAACTGTCAAAATGTGTCCTTTATAGTCCGGTGACCGTTCTACAGAGGTGACTGTACTCGAACTGTACGCAGACGCGTTGTCTACGTACGCGGGGTGGGGACTAGATGAGTCGTGTGCCGTTGCTATTGCACCTGGTTGCCCATCGAAAACAAGTTACCTGCTCTGCTAGCTAGCAACCCACGGCCTTCAACGACCGCATACTACACTACTCTGCAGCCGAGCACCTCCGTCTATACGCTCTCCGTGGGCTTTCTGATGCAAATACGTTCGCATGAGTCAGTCGTGAATAGCAGAAACGGGAGGGGGAACGTTTCAATTTAGCGTGCATTTAAAAACCTGCGCGGCGCGGAACTACCGGCGTAGCTTGCTGGCGTCTCGCGTTCTGCATTTGCAGCTCTAATTAGATGTGATTCAGCACCGAGCTATATGCAGACGCGACTGCGGCGGATTTCTAATTCAATAACTAGTTTTTACATATCAATCGCGAAAAGATCTACATCGCGACAACGCCACGGTATGAATCGCCGACTTAATTCCTAGCAACCCACGCTATAGGCCCTACTCTTCACAAGAAACACACGTCCGCACACAGGGGAAGCAGTATAACAGTGAAACAACGTTTCTGTGAGCGCAGACAGTGGAGAAATCGCACGGGATAGGCATCGCTTTACGATTTTACAGCGTGCGAAGTGATGAATTCACTACGCAGAATAGAGCCGCGCTGGTTTTATGCTCTTTCAGCCCTCCCCACAACATCATTCGTCACAATCTACACAGATATACACGTATGTCATTGCCGGCACATAACACAGATGTTTCTACCCGATATGTCTATAGGAACATTTGTATTATCGTGCGTAGTAAGGGTAGTCGTGATTGTTTTTCTGTAGATAAATTAATCGATAATTTGCGTACGCGGTGGCCGCTGCGCACGTACATATCTGCGAGAAAAAGTGCTTCAACCCTCTCACCCCGCGCAAAGCTACTGCCATTACGCTGAACATAGTAGCGAGGTTACTACCACATGTACACCCAAGAATGCTCCCTATTACCAGAGCCCTGTCGACCTGGAGGTTTTCAACCGCCGTGCCAGGTCCCGTGTGCTGCAGTTGCTAGGTCGAGTGTAGTGTATAGTGACCCGAGAAGAAGAAGAAGAAGAAGAAGAAGAAGAAGAAAAAGACCCAAGAAAGAGAGCCGCATGCCTCAAGCAGAGGTGAGGACGTTTTCACCGTTTTACATATAACACAGCAGCGATAACTCTGCCACATTCATGGCTTGAATGTGGAAGATAAGTGAAGATTGGAGCCCCTGCCACACTTCTAGATACGTAACGAAGAATATTTCGCCATTTCGCCAAATATATTAGCGATATCACTGCTTCGTACATAGCTGCTATGTGGACGATAACTGATAACTGGGACGATGAAGACAATGGAACTCCCGCGAATACTTACATATAACTGAGAATTTCACCGCTTTACGCCTAACATAGCAGCTATATCACTGCTACAGTTAAAAGTGGTAAGATATTCACCACCTTAGATGCAAACACATTCGCGTCTGCTCACCACCATCGCACGCACGCACGCACACACTCACGCACACACGCACACGCACGCACGCACACACGCACACGCACCCGCACACACGCACACAAACACGCACACGCACACGCACGCACGCGCACCGCCTACACACACGCACACACACTTACCGTGGGCGACATCGACATCGGAGAGATCACGGACGACTTCGGTGAGAGTCCGTAGGGGATGTACTCACTAGGCCGGGATTTTGACTGAGGGTTGTTCATGTTCGTGTTGTTGCCGCCGCTGTGATGGTTGTACGGATGGCCGCTGCGGCTGCGGTAGTGCGCCAGCTCGGGCTCTTGACCGTACGTGTACAGACTGACGGCGTCGCCGTACGGGTCGTAGCTGCTCGCACCGCCGCCGCCGCCGCCGAGTCTCTCCGAGGAGAGCTTCGGCATACAAGAGACTGCGAACCACATGCTGTCACGCGGGATCACAGGCGGCTGCTACTTCTCCCCGATAACGCACGCGACACTGGGCAGGGATGCTAGTGTCCGCGATGGTGACAGGAAACGCGACACTTGGCAGGGATGCTAGTGTCCGCGATGGTGACAGGAAACGCGACACTTGGCAGGGATGCTAGTCCCTGATGGTGACAGCGAACGCGACACTTGACAGGGATGCTAGTCCCTGGTGATGACAACGTTCGCGACCCTAGAAAGAGCTGCTACTATGCGATGGTGACAACGCACGCGACACTAAAAAAGGCTCGCTGACGATGGCGACACACCAGCGCACGCACGACACACTCAGCTTGTCGTCGACGCTTTAACGAGCTTCACGAGGCTGTCGCCGTCGACGACAACAACCTGTCGACAAACCGACACGGACGACGCCAAGCGGACGACGCGGGTACTATATACACGAGCGCGTCTCGTCGCTACCGCGGGCTGCGCACGTCGTCTGTCATGTATTCCATAAACGTACTCCTTCCCGCAAGATGTGTCGTCGTTCGCTCGCACACAAAAGCGGCGCGAGAGAGACACAGGGAGACAGGTGTGTGCGGTTGCCGCTGCGACACACAAGACAGACACACAAGACAGGTACAGCTACCGATGCCCGCACGCCTACTGTTCTCTCTCTTTCGCTGTGTCTTGGTCGGGTAAATGGCCTTGGGGCAGGCAGACGAGCGTAGGAGCGTTCGCGCAGAGATATGTGCCGAGCTGTAGAAACGAAAGTGGTCATGTGATTGCAACTTTGCCGACAGTGAACGTTCACCTAGAGAGGATTAACCTAGAACGACTAGCGGGCGGGCCGCGCACACATGGTGCGGAAATCGCTACTACATGAGCTCAGGCTGCTGGCACCAGCACCTGCGTGAGAAACCAGCAGCCAGCGAGAAACGCACACACATCACCACACACACACATCACACACACACACACACCCACACAAGTGCACACACACACACACACACACACACACCACACACACCACCAACCACACACACACCACGACCACCACGACACCCACACACAGCAACACACATTTCATATACGTAGAGAATCACCGACCCTCTCGTGGTGCTGCCATAAACGAGACTTGCATTCGTGTCGGATTGTGCGTGCGTATGTTTAATCTGCGTGAGTTGCGTGGCGTGCAGTGCGTCACTGTATTTCATGGTTCAGCGATCGTCGAGCATGCCGTGCGGAACGATGTCATGCAGGCAGCAGAGAGCTTTCTGATGACAGCGAACGTCGCTCCTCTCTCATATGCTCATCGTCTCTCCTCTCTGCTCTCTCTCTCGTCTTCTCCTCTCTTCTCTCTTCTGGCCCCAGTCTCTCTCTCTCATCTGCTCTCTTCTCTCTCTCTCTTCTCTCTCGTGCTCTCTCTTCGCTG